TGTTCTCCGCAACATCAAATGATTGAACATTGTTCGTAATCACATAAGTTATACCATAGTTTATCATTGTGCTTTCATGAGCAAAAGGTTGATCACGATAACACGCTACCATACTTAAGCAAAGAAAGCGCTGTTCAAGTTCTTGAGTAATCATCTTGTGCTCTACCTAATAAGCCAAAGTATTTATAAATTTACAGCGTCATGCCGTAATTTCAAGATCATGCATGGGAATTGATGATGGAATGATTGGGAGCCTATTTTTGGTTGGCAAAGAGCTGATCGTATGTTCTCGCAACACCAAATACGAATGGGACGAATCCTTTACTAACCAAGTCAGCGAGTTTGCGCCTGAAAATAATACGCTGAAAGTGGCAGTTTTACCAAGCGAAGCAAAATATAACATTTCTTGCTAGATGAAGGACAAGAAGCTACTGCACATGTTAACAAATCAAGTTTCGATGGTCTACTGGTACCAGCAGGCACCAGCTTATCCTATGGAATTTGGACTGCTACGATCATGAAAATGACTAATTTTTCAGGAAGCATTGCGGCAAACATTTGCTCGAAGTCCATCATAAGAAGTCTGAGTAGCACAAGTCTGCTCGAAATCGACTATCGTTAAGCTAGCGCCAGCGAAGCATGGCGGATCCATTTGAGTGGGTTTGAATTGATAATTTCTGCATACGAACGCATCAAACAACGTCTTGAGAAAATCGGTCGCGAAGTGACGAGGCGCAACATCGGAAACACGCGAATAATTCCCAACCCAAAAAATATCAAGCGACTTTCATAATCAGGGAGTCTCGCGTCTTGTCTATTGTTTAAACCAGACAGATATTCTGCTAACTAACCCTCATTAAAATTACATAACATTACTATAACTTTACTTCTCTCTGTTAAAATCATATGCCAAAAATCTCCAACGCATTCCAAGAGTGGTCCCTGCAAACAACTGAGTTAATGTATGAGGTAAGGGTGAATATCTCACCTGTGTACAGATATACTTTTGTCCGTCTGGCATTGTCATCCAGCTAGCGTGAATGTAGTCATCTTCCGGTAAACGGTCTTTGAGAACAACTCTAGTGGCATCAATGCATATAATATCGTTATATCTATAACACCACT